TTTGTTTTGGTGCCTTTGAATCAGTGTTGACTCCTGACAACTGCCTGGACAAGTCCCTGAAGTTATTTTGGCAAAGTTTCAGAAGTGGGTTGCCATTGCCTGCTTCCCAGGGCTGAGAGGGAGTGACTGGCCCAAGGTCATCCAGCTGGCTTTGTACCTAAAGAGGGACTAGAATTAGGGGCCTTCCAGTTTCTAGTCTAATGCCTTAAACCCTACACTCAACTAGTTTTCCTTGACAGCAAAAAAAGAAAAACGACAAGAGTTACTATACCTTTCATTTAAAATAATCACAATGGTTATACAGCCAAGTGATAGCGGCAGTGTGTGTGTGTGTGTGTGTGTGTGTGTGTGTGTGTGTGTGTGTATGCACACACACCAAAACTGAATTATTGACAACAATGCATGACTTCAGAAATTGGAGGACAATTGAATCACAGATGCCCCCATCAAAATCAAATCACTCTTACTGAACCACCATGAAATACAGAAATCAATTATACAATAGTTTGTTTACAACATGGTGAACTAGAGAGGCAGAAGCAGCAAGCTTGGCATTAAGGTGCTGATATCTGTAGGTGAGGGGTGTGAATTGGCCAGCTGCAGAATCGGCTAGCCAGCTTTCTAGTTGTTGGAGTAGGTAGGGTTAAACCACGACTTCCTTTTCTCAGTTGCTTTGAGATTTGGAAAAGCTCCACTGCATCTTTGCCGACTGTACAATGTCTACTATTTGAAAAATGTAATAACTGGTAAAATATTAACATGACATAACTGTATGCTGTTTCCAGAAATTGCACAACACTGCCACTTTTCTTTTGGGGACTTTGACTGCCCTTCCCAGTTACATTATAGCCATATTTTATTGAGGAACCTAGATACCTTTGCTCAGGGGCGGGTGGTGGCAGTTCTCATCTCTCTAAAGATGCAAACTCACTTCCTAAAGCTATCATCATCAAGCAGAAACTTGATTGCCTTTTGAACTGCAGAGGTTTTGACACTGCATTATTTATCCACCGTCCATCATACAATATATAGACACACATGCACGCATTTAGCTAAAAAGTATTTTTGCAAGCAAGAAGCATTTCTTTTCATTTTACCACACCTTTATTGATAGAGCTCTCAGCCCTTGCATAGTATTTAACTCAGACAACCAAGTAGTATTTAACTCAGTAGACGGAACACAAAATAAACAGTATCTTGGATTCTTGACTCTTGAGTGGAGTGGCGAGGGAGGGTGGATGATCTTCCCTTCTGTTGGGTGTGGTGAGTGGACATTCTTTCACCTAGATGGGCTTAGTTCTTGAGCCACCTAGTACTTGGGCAGAGATGGTTGGTCTCTTGAGGATCCGGGGGGGATTGTGTGTGTGTGTGTCCTAGCCTTGGAGCAGGGGTTTCAAACTCGATTTCATTGAGGGCTGCATCAGGGTTGTATTTGACTACAGAGGGGCTGGGGGGCATGACCAGGATGGGCATGGCTAGCTAGTCATTCGTGTGGGGGCGCCTGTGGCCGAGCACTTTGCCAGTGAAAGTGGGCTCCCGAGCTCCATTTTTGGCTGCTACAGCCTCCAGCGAAAACGGAGCTCGAGAGGGCTGCACGTGGCCCGAGCGAGCTCTGTTTTTACTGGCAGAGGTGACGCAGGTCGGTCTTTTGCTGTTTCCAGGGTGGCCCCATGGGCCAGATCTAAGCACCCCATGGGCTGGATCTGTCCCCCAGGCCTTGAGTTTGACACCCCTGCCTTGGAGAAAGGATCAAGAAGAAGGAGCAGGTAGGAACATCAGGAACAACCTGTGGAATATCAACTCCCCAAACAACATCTCCGCTGAACATCTCTGTTTCTTCTGGAACACCCTCCAAATCTGACTGAGTCAACAGGCCTGGAAGTTGAAAAAGAATGGTGATCTGAGGAGGGGCCTCCATTCTTCATAATACCTGACTCTCTCTCTCAGCCTTTTAATAATAATATCCATTTTTCTATATTTTATTTTAATTGGTTTGATTGCATGCTGCTAAGAGTCACAATTTTGTGAGGTGGGCAGCCATATAAATAAGATGTACACTTACATACATAAATACATCAGGATGGTGACAGGCAGAGGAAGGTATGACAACCATCAGGAACCCAATGTTTGCAAGTAGACCCACTCTACTTGGGTTATGTATCATTTGGGTTATAAGCAGTGTTTCTCAAGTAGCTACTCGAAAGATTTTCTTTGTCCTCTTTTTAAATGGGAGAAGAGTATACCCCTGTTAACTCAGGATGCAATCATTGTACATTAATTGACATCACAGATGTATACTGGAGGAGGCAGAGACTTCAAAAGTGGTTTCCAAACTGAAATTTTAATATAAAAGAGGGGAGAAAAGTATGTACAGAAGTGAAGAATAATCAGTTAAACTTAAAACTACTGAATTTTAATTACATTTAAATGTAAACAAAATAAAATCACATTACCTTGGGAGTAGAACGCCTCACCATTCAAAAATCACTTTTTGAAATTTCAGTTTTGAAAAAGACTTGAAAAAGACAGCTCCAAATTCAGCAAGGATGGAAAAGACAGAGATGACATACCCCAAGATCCTATGTTTGTTGATCCCATTATTGTTAAAATGTAAATACACTGTGAAATGGTTTAATTTAGTTCAGAAATGTATTTCAATAACGAAAGGCTAAAAACCTAATAAAAGTAAACACCAGATCTGTAGGCCAAAAAGAAGCCTGACTCCTTACAAAATTAAGGAGAAAAAAATGTTTCAGACCAAACACAAAACATAAAAATACAATAAGTAAAAGAATCAATAAGGAAAGAAATTCACAAGATTTAAGGGCTACATGTATAAATATGGCCACTCTAAATCAAATGCAATCTGTACCTTGCATAATTTAGCTGTCCTTGATTTTAGAGACAGTTATTATTATACTTGGATTTCAGTTTCAGGAAAAAATTATAGTATTTTCAGCAACATTTCACCCATGTCTACCAATCTTTCAGCTCAATGTATTTTAGTATACTATAGCTGAAAGTTGCCCTGCCCATTATTGCATGAACAGAAAGTTGCTCTGCCCATTATTGCATGAACAGATTAAAAACTAATACAAGTTGGTATTCATATAAATCTTAAAAATACTTCAGGATGTAATTAAGCTTCATTGGTAACTTACTTTGCAGAACATATCATTTTAGTAAGCTAGTGTTCCTCCAAATTTTTAGCTTTATTATGAGGGGAAAAACCTGATGATGATTAAAATAATCTTAAGGCAGAGATAAATTGCCTAATAGCTTTGCAAAAATAACTCTACTTGTTCAAACATTTTTCTCAAAAATCACTGTAACTGTTCACATAATCCAAATTGTATCATTACACAACGATTCCATTTCAATGTTTGTTTGTCTTTTGGGTGTTCAGACCTTAATATGTGGCATAATGTTGTAGGATGTTGTTACATTCCCCCCCCCCCCAAAATGATGGATTCCTGTGCCTTTAATTAGAAGCTACCCATTTGTAAATGTAAATGCTTTAGCGTGATTTGTTTGGTGTGCTAGGACAATCTGTGATATTGTCCCCTTATTACATTCCTTATTAAAATAATATTTTTCCTTGTCATAAACAGAAAACAGAAAAACATGAAGGCAAGTGGTAATTTAGCTGCTTTTCCCATCAAGGTAATAGACACTGACCAACTTCATGTTAACACTGCAGGCCCAATATCTGAAGAAAAATGGAAGAAGCCCTGCAGAGGAGACAATCTAGATTCTAGAAGCATCCTGGCAATGGGGAGAAGAACAGCTGAGTAATTCAAAACCTATCAGAAGTGGGCCATACCAGGTAGCAGTAGCCTCTTGGTGGACCTGGCTGATCACAAGAAGGCTAAACAAAATTGTATTTGATTAGTATTAGAATGAGAGATCACCAAGAAATCTCCAGAGTATAATTTAGATTGGGGAAATGAAACACACACACACACACACACACCCCTAAAGAAGACAATCACAACCCACCTGCCTTGTAGTCAAGGAAATCACATGTTTATAAAGTTATCAAGAGTTGAGCTCAGCCCTTAGAAGCTATTCTAAATGCTGCACATACAGCAGAATGCAGGGCTGTGCAGAAAAGTTCTGTGTTATGTTTCCACTTACTAGTTTTCCCTCAATTTGGAGTAAGGAAATTGCTTTCCAAATTTTTATTGAAAAGGAAAGAGATGAAATTCTCATGGCGGAATGGGATACCCTTGCACTTCTTTTAGTGAAGAGGTGGCAAAGGAACATACAACTATCCTATCCTTTACCAGTCGATCTTCTCAGGAGCAGACTGCACACTGCTGGTTCTCACACTGAATCCCAGAATAAAGCATTTTGAAGGAACCACTCCCCTTGGGCTTTTTTTTTGTTTTTGTTTTTACATTTTGGAGAGTGGAGAGACTTGTAAAAAAAAATTAAAAAGAGATTTCCCCAAACTCTATTGGCTGGACAATAAAGCAAGCTCAAAACACCATCAAGAAAGAACTTTCCAATTACCTGAAATATGAGGAAAAGAATAGAAACTTCTCTTTGTGAGGGGAAAAAAAAAACCCTTTGGATAAATTACAAGGCATGTTTGGCACAGCCTTAGCAGAAAGTCTTAAGAGCAAATTATCTGCATTCAAGTATCATATCTACACACAGTATATAAATCTTATCTGTGCAACTGACTGTGATTTCCTTTCTTCACATGAATGTATACACCAGAGGTCTTCAAACTTGACAGCTTTAAGACTTGTTGACTTCAACTCCCAGAATTCCTCCTCCAGTCATGTTAGCTCAGGAATTCTGGGAGTTGAAGTCCGCAAGTTTTAAACTTGCCAAATTTGAAGACCTGTGGTATATACCTTCAAATAAATGTGGATAAGTTTCCCCTGCAGCTTTCCCTCCGTGTCTGAATAATTAAGGAATAGGATTATAGCCTTGTGTGAAAAGTTACGTGGAATCTCTTGTAAGTCTCCCTTCAGCTTTTCATCTGACAGTAAAAAAAGGAAACACTTAAGAACTCTAAGTAGCACCGCTGTAAAAGCAGTTTTTAATACCCAGCAGGACAATCTTATGCATAGCTGGTCAGCAGTACGCATTTGATCATAAGAGGTTTCTGCTCAGTTCAGTGCGTATTGCTTGCAATTTAAATTTCTGTTCAGATCTTTTGCAATAATTTAGAATATTTTTTAAATCCTGCTTTTATTTACTAACCAGGTGGCTCACTTGAGAGGATCCTTAGCCTACTTCATCTCCAAACTCCTAACAATACAGGCGCCGGTCAAAGGCATGATTCATTCCATTTGTATTTTTTTCTGTGTGCAATGACTATAATATATGTTGCCTAAGCAGTATACCAGCATCCTGAGAAAATACATAAATCAAGTATTGTTCCAGAGTCTCAGTGGTTCTTTCATTGATTCATTTGTCAAGAGGGAAGGAGAAATATTAAATGGATGGGCATTCCATAGTACAATAACAAGAATTTTCCTCCTTGCTTTGGCTTTGTGCAAATTCTCAAGTTTAGGGCTAAACATCTGAGTCACAGGGAAGTTTGCTCTCGCTTCTGCTCCTACTCCACGTCCTCTCCCCTTCTAGCACATCCAGAGAATTGCTGTAGGATCTGGGCATGGGGTTCCGGGATTGCCTGGGAACTGCTGTGCTGCTGATGGGGGCAGAGATTGCTCCAACATTTGACAGGCTCTGTTGGTTGGAATTCTTGGAATATTTGGAATTCGTGGCGCTTTTCTTCAATCTCAACTCTTTGCAGCATTGGCCAAAGCTAAAAGTTAGAGAGATGCCTCCGATAATTTCCAGGCAGCTCCCTAAGTATCCAAGAACCAAGCAGTAGGCCACCCGCAGGGTAGTGGATGGAGGAGAAGGTAAGTCATACAATTCGTAATTGTACCACGAAACTGCAATCAAACTCAGCAAGCCGGAAACAAAGAGCACCAGGCCGCCTAGCCCCGCGAGCAAATGGTGGGGCATTTCCTGCCAACATCGCACACCAAAAGAAGTCACAATCAGCCCCACGACTGTGACTGCCAGAGAAGAGGGCATGAGCCCTCTGGCCACTTGCACAGGCAGCTGGTCAAAGTAACCAAGGGTGTCTTTGACGTTGCATTCGTTTGTACGGGTACTCATGCGCTCGTTGCAAATATCCCAGATCCCTTGGTGCTGAATCAGATCTGTTGACATGTCAAGGAATCCAGTCACATCTCTCCAGCTGGGGGCCAGCGTGCTTGTCAGGTTCAAGACAAGGCCACAGGGACCAAGCACAATGCCCACGATCATGGGAGTCGGAGTCCGCATGCTGCTGACCAAGCAATCAAGCCCAAGAAGCTGTTACGGAAACCAGAAGAGGTTTCACCTTCTAAGTTGACCTGCCTAGCTAAGATTCCCTGCTAGGCATCTGTTGGTGATCTCTGCTGAAAAAAGATTCTGGATTAGGATTCAAGAAATCTGGTCAGTCAGGACTCAGGTTCCCCACATATAAGCCCCACATTTACTGCAGAATTCCCTTAATCTTCCTACTCTGCCCGTAAAAGAAACTACAGCGAACAGTTGGGTTGCTATTCTATTTCTCACAATGCAGTTTACGAAACATTTGCTTAATTCTAAATTCTGTCTCCCTTTCCCAGTGCTAAAGAGAATGTTTTTCTCCTTCCTTCCCCTGTAATCAGGAGCGGCTCCAAAATATGGTACGTTTTACTTCTCTTGAGTCACTGCCAAGAGTTCCCCCTTCTCAAGTGTAATTTTGCAGGGGACCCTCCCAACAAGGAAGGTCAACGGCAGCCTGAGGGGCTTTTTCTTTCCGTTCAAGTTTAAAGATGGTTTGAAGATTCCCCCTCCTGAAATCCTGAAGCTCCCCCTGACTTGGAATCAGACATCAAAAGAGAGCAAACATTTACCTGTCCACTTGCTTGGTCCTACTGCAGGCACACCTGTGACGTCCATTGTCTTCCCTCCTCTATGTACCCAGCTAAAAGCACTCGGCTACTTCGACCGAAACTTCTTTGTATACAGAGAAACTGAACGCTGCTGTTGCCAAACTCGTTCTATGTTGTATTTTATAGGCAAAAAGGGGAGGGGAGGAGAAGTAAAACAGAAGTGGAACCAGGAAGGCTTTGTACCAGGTGTTGCCAAGTTGGTGACTTCAAGAAGGTGGGGTTTGCTGGAGAAGAACATCACACCTGCTTCTCTGTGTGCAAGATACATAGTGATTTTTTTATTCTCCTGAGTAAAGGTCAGCTCTCATTGCTCAGGTTGCACAGCCCATCTAAACAATTGCCAATTTAAAGCATCATTGCTTGTGTAACTATTTTAAAAGATAAGCATGCTGGGCAGTTCAGATTGCACTAATGCCCTGAAAGGGAGAGTGAAACTGAGCTAAGGCTGCTCCTGAACCTGCCAAGGGAGAATAACTGTCGAAAGTGGGATGGGGAAAAGATAATAAGTGTTTTAAGAAACTGATTCAACCAATCTTTTGCCACTTTTTAAGAACCCTTTGGTGCACTATAGCTTTGATATATTTTTTAATTATTTCTCACTCTCATTCCCCCTGTCTTGATTTACCAACTTGCCAGCCAGCCAATGTAGCAGGAATTTAAAGAGCAGCTTCCTACCTAAGCAGATGCTGGCAGATACTCAAATTCAATGTGTTTCAGCTATTGATTTCTGCACACTAGGCAGGAACGTGTTTCCTTATGTCTTACCTGGTTGTTTAAACAATCGTTGGGAGGTCTTTATTTCATGTTGGTTGTTTTTCTGGGTGGCAAATACACCTAGTTGTATCCCTTGAGTAAATCCTTGTTCAAAAAAACCAATTCTGATGCTGGCAAGGAGCCTGGGTTGCTCTCCTGGGAATGTGCTGTAATAAGGGTCGGAATGGTGGGGGAGGGAAATTGATTGACTATTAGACAGTATTGCCATACTTTGGAAAACAAAGCCAAGGCAGAATGTTAGACTGGTAAAACCAGATTTAGAAAATCTTTTGTGTGAAGAACGTTGCATATACTTTCTAGATCGGAGAATAGGTCCCCCTTTTTCCCAACATAAGCCGGATCACAGCAAAGCCTTTGAGTTGAGCTCAGCCCTTGGTGACTTCATGAATCCTTTGTGATACTTTGTGCAGGGTTGTTTTTTTTTGGCAACAGTACAGAGGTGACCTGCCTTTACCTTCTCCCTGGATGGTTTTGACTTTCCCAGTCTAGCCTACAACCTAGCATTTCATGATGATTCCAGTTCATCCGCCTGGAATCCACACTGTATAATGGACATTAATACAACTGAACGAGTCCAGAGGTATTTCACGAGAAGAATACTCCACTCCTCAGCTTGCAATAGAATACCTTATGCCACCAGGCTTGAAATTTTGGACCTAGACAACTTAGAACTACGCCGCCTACAGTCTGACCTAAGCTTAGCACACAAAATTGTCCGCTACGGCGTCCTACCTATCAATGACTACTTCAGCTTCAGCCACAATAACACACGGGCAAACAATAGATACAAACTCAAAGTAAACCTCTCCAAACTTGATTGCAGAAAATACGACTTCAGCAACAGAGTGGTCAATGCCTGGAACTCACTACCTGACTCTGTTGTTACATCCTCAAACCACCAAAACTTTAACCTTAAACTGTCTACCATGGACCTCACTCCATTCGTAAGAGGTTGGTAAGGGGGCGTGCATAAGCGCACCAGCATGCCTATCGTCCCTGTCCTACTGTTCCCATTTATTTGTACTCATTTATTATGTATATACTTATACCAGTTTATACTTATATGTTGATGTGTTATGTTCATACTTATATTTGTTTTCTCATACATGCTTGACAAACCAAACTAAATAAATAAAATAAATAAATGAATGACTCCCATCTAAATACTAATGAAGTCTGCCCTTGCTTAGGGTCTGTAGATCAGCCAGATGCTGCCACCTAGCTAGCACAAGCTCCCATACTTCGTCTTAAGGCTGTCATTTGTACTATTCTACACAGTTGCTGAGACTCAAACCATTGCTAATTCATCCCAATGGGGTCTTTCTGTCTGCTAACAGCAATGTGATAAGCAAAAATTAGACACAAACATCATTTCCATCGCTTTCATTTTTCTTTCACCCAAAAAAAAAAAAAAAGAAGTCCACTATTAATTGCCTGGGTCTGCCAGTCGAGTTATAAACTAAAATTTTTCTATTTTATGTTTTAATCTGCATTAAATAAAACTGTCTGTATAATAATAATCAGTTCTACCAGCACTAATTCTGTCTCCAAAGATGAATTGGTAGGATAGACAGTAGCATTTGTTGATAATTATGGCAAGCACTTTGGACACTGGAAATGGCCTATAAATACTTACATTGCTGAGCTTGGGTGTGTTTATTTTATACTGTTCCATCTATATCATATTAAACACTTGGAAGAAATGTGTAGAGGTAGATTGAAATCACCCATAATTAATTCTGTGGAAAAAACCCCAAAGGGTTCATATTTCTATCATGATCAGAAGCAGATAAAGCTCATCTAGATGAAAAATTACCCCATCTCTCCTTGCCTTAAACTTTGGCCTCTGTTTCATTCATTCATTTCCTGACTTCTTGTACTGTAGTCCAACAGACTATCAGCGATGACAGACGTTCTGCTTTCAACATCTCTATTCATTCTTTTTTGCTACAGGAGATAAATTCAAAACCATTGGGATTAATGGGCAATGCTGCATTTGGAGGGGAGGGGCATGTGTAAATAAGGATTATGGTGGATGATGTGGCTGGCATCTTGACACCAAGCCTTCCTTCCTTCCTTCCTTCCTTCCTTCCTTCCTTCCTTCCTTCCTTCCTTCCTTCCTTCCTTCCTTCCTTTCTTTCTTTCTTTCTCTTTCTTCTTCTTCTTTGCTTCTTAAGTTTCTGCACTGGTCAGCAGAGGGCAGCAACTGCTGGTAAATAAACAAGGGTGTGGTTGGGCAGTGAGGGAAAGAACACGAAATAATTTAAGCCAAGTCATCAGGCAAGTATAAACACTGCCCCTGCTTTTCCTTTCCATAGTCACAGCGCCGTTCACTAGTTCTGCACCTGGAATGTGTACTTGTTGCTAAAGATCAGAGCAGCCGATTAGAAACTAGCATGCTTGTGCAGGAAAATTATATTTTTCAAGCAAATGCTTGCAATACTGACTTTCTTGGGGAATACACACCTATTCCTCATCACGTACTCCTGCCTTCTCCAGGTATGTATGTGTGTACCGGTGTGTATTTGTGGTGCAATGTATGCACTACAGATTGTAATAAAGGGGTTCTGCTTATGATTAGGTACTTGCCGGGCCCCCAATGCACTAAGTGGAATTTCAGGTGTCTTTGCATGTGTGTGTGTATAGTACTGCCTCTCTTCTCTGTAGAAAAAAAGCATTATATGACATTATGAAAATAGAATTAGAGTCAAAAGCTTATTTTCACAACTCTTAACTGGATACATTTTGACTCCACCACCACCTAGTGCTTAAATTGTGTAATGTTTCTATATCCACACAACACAACGGCCTCCCACTACAGCAGGGTTGGCAATTTTTAAGAGGTGTGGTCTTCAACACCCAGAATACCCCAGTCAGCATGTGCAAATTTATTTATTTATTTATTACATTTGTTTGCTGCCCATCTCATTATCCAAGGTGACCATGGGCTCTAATATGCAAATTCCCTAGCCAGCATATGCAAATGCAAATGGTATTATCATATAGATGTCTATGTGCAGCTGGAGGTCAATGAAAAAGAGATTACGGCAATCATCGTTTCTTTAACTTGTTCTTCTTCCAGCTTGACACCTAATAAATAATTATATAATCTTTTTATATTATTTTGGATATCCTATAGATTTGGATAAATGGCAGAAATTATGGAATAGGAATTATAAGTTGACAATATCGACATCGTATAAGGAGAACTTATATAAGATGTTTTATAGATGGCACTTAGCGTCAGCAAGTCTAACGAAAATGTTTAAAGATAAATCAATGAAATGTTGGAAATGTCATCAAACGCCAGGAACATATTATCATATGTGGTGGACTTGCATAGAGGCAAAAAGGTATTGAACTAAAATACACACGTGGTTAGAAAAAATGATTAAACAACACATAGATTTGAAATCTGAAATATTCCTATTAGGAATGGTACCAGAAGGTTATACTAAAGAAAAGACATATTTAATTATACATGTTTTAACAGCGGTTAGAATAGTATTTGCCCAAAATTGGAAGAAAGAAAAATAATTGAAAAAATATTTGAATGTGCAGAAATTAAAGAAAGAGAAGAAACTGATTATTATATAGTATGGAATATGTTTTATCAATGGATAGAGAATAAAATAAATGAAAAGAGATGTATTTATAGAGTAATTAGAGAAATTTAAGTGATAGATGTATGTGACATTATTATATATATGGAAATGTGATTAATATTGTATTGTTAGATTTGATAAGTAGAATATCATTTATAATGGTCAACAAGTGAAATATGTACCTAATTGACACACGATTGAAATGGAATGGATTTGTTGTATTTAAAAATAATAAAAACTTTATTTAAAAGAAAAAGAGATTACAGCCACATCACAACAATATTTCAGTTATGATCAATCTGTTTCCTTACATCCAGTAAAGACATATTCTTCTGTTCCTCAGTTTAGAAAGAAAATCAAATAGAACAAGAAATTAGAAAATGCACCCACTCGTAGAGATATATCATTGAATTAAAACAAAAACCAAAACTGCAATCCCTGTTGGATTCCCTTGTGGGACACTTTCTTAAATAAAGGGGTTTTTTTCAACCTATTGTGTTGAATTTTTTTATTGGCATCGCAGATTGCATTAGCCATCCTGTTTTGACTAAGTCACAAATTGTTTGTTTCACCTAAAGGCTGTGCCTTAAATCATGGTAAATAAATCACCAAGCAGCTCAGTGCAAAATGTGACCGGAATCAAGGCCTAAACATGCATTCAAGGAATGCCTTCTGAAACCCTTCAAGAGTATCAAGTAAGGCACAGCCACAGAGCTATATATCAGCGTTCCCCTTCATGGCTTTTATAGTCTTAAGGAGTA